ACTTATATATTGGATGTGATATATCAACCTGGTCCCCAAACATTTATTTACAAACCCAAATATAGGTGTGTAAATCTATTAGTAAAATGAAAACTGTGACTCATGAGGCATTTTATTGGGATGAGAACTTGAAGAATATTATCTATAAATTGTATATCTTGTGATCCCTTATCAGATAAACTAGTAAATGTTATCTATTAATGTTTAGTATTTTTTATTTTTATCCTATTTTTTACTTACCATTATATCATAACAATATTCCTAAGTCATTAAATATTCTTAGAAAACAAAGAAGGAAAAATATATATACAAAGACATACACTATATACACTCATTTAAACATTCTTAGTAAGCATTATATGCTAGGTACTGTGCTAGAAGCTAAGGATAAAAAACTGAAAAATGAAGATCTCAGATAAAATTTTTGTTTCATGAGAATAAAATATGATATTAAAGGCAAAATTGCAATTTCCTAAGAGGACCAGAGAAAGATTGTTGAAATGTTGGAATATACCTTGTGCACCTGCTCCTGTACCTTCTTTTGTTTTTTCTTAGGAGCAAATATCTGATCATATTCTTCTGTATATTCTAGAAGCCACTTGCTTGGCTTCCTAAGGCGTTTCTTCTCTGACCGCACAGCTACAAGAAGATAAACAAGTTCAGTATTAACCAAAAAGCTAGAGGAAAACCCAAAGTTTTTATGAAACCATCCCAAAGTGTTTTATGAAACACTCCCAAAGGTACCCAGATGGGAAACCACCTGGCAAAAGTGCTCTGGCTTAAGATGCAAGAGGCTCAAATGATTTGCTATGTTTTATCACATGCAAAAGGATTGGTGGGGGTGTACAAAGGGACTTTTGTGCACATGCACACCCATACACAACCCCCCCCCATATAAATGGCCCATCCAATCGTAAGGAAAAGGTTAAATTGAAAGTATTTTGTCCTATGGTAACTGACACCAATACAAACAGAGATAACATATACCTAACACAAAAACAGAGTATAGATCAGGTAAATTGGTAAAATATACCATGAGTTATAGGTTGAGTATGCCTTATCCAAAATGCTTGGGGATCAGAAGTGTTTCAGATTTCAGCATTTTTTTAGATTTTGGAATATTTGTGTATATATAATGAGATATCTTGGGAATAGGACTCAAGTCTAAACATGAAACTAATTTATCATATAAACTTCATATACACAGCCTAAAGGTATTTTATACAATATTTTGAATAATTTTATTCATGAAACAAAACTTGTTTACACAGAACAATTAAAAAGCAAAAGTGTCACTATCTCAGCCACGCTTGTGGACAGTCTGTGGTTTTTTGGCATCACTATCATTTCTAACACTTAATTTAAATGTTACTGATAAATAATCACTTTCTCACAATTATTCATACGTAAGTACTTAACAGTAAAAAATGACATACCACTAATATTGTGAAAAAAAAAAAATAACATGTTCAGGATAACTAAACTGCAGGGTAGAATCACTAGAATACCTGTATCAGCTGTTAAACAACAGCAACAAACACTGGCAGGCTTTCAGTCTCCACTTAGGATGCTCCGTTTTGATTAAAGAGTCTACTGTACACTGTATTTTATCTTTTAAGTGAGAACAAACACCAGAAGCAGTTGAATGACCATAGATATAGACCCTCTAGGGATAAGGAAGTGTTCTGCTGCATGGCTTTTACAAATGTTTCCTCCAGAGTCATCTGCTTTATGAATAGTTTTTGTCTGAGATGTCTCTCTTTGATTTCATAAACTGATAGGGTTTCTTGTTATGTTATGAATGCACACTGTTCTAGTCCTTCAATAAGCCCATCACGTTTTGACCATATCTATAGGTACTTTGTGTGTAGTATTAACACCGTCATCTTCATCATCACTATTTTCACAATCACCTTAATTCAGAATCACTTCAGCTATTTCACCAGTCAATGAATGAACAACTGAACCCTCATTGTTGATACCAAAAATTTCTTTGATATCTACTTCTACCAGATTACTGATGAACTCTGAAGGTATATTTTGCATATGTAAGAAGGTCAGACATCCTTTTTTTTCACTTGACATATGGAATCCTTCAAAGTCACCACCTTGTTCCTCATCATCACTAACCACAGCTGCAGGTCAGAAGCTGTGCCAGGCATGCACAACCGAGTCTTAATCAATGTGTTCCAAGCATTGACAACAGCATATGTATTCCTCATGCTAAACTCCTTTGAAAAACCTTCCATACCTACACCTCTGTTAACTGCTGCTAGCACTCTGCTCAAGAAAGTATTATTATTAATATATTTACTCATCATTGATCCGAGGATTCCCTGGTCATATGGCTGAATTAACGAAGTTACACTTGGGGTAACTTCACAAGCACATGGCATAAACATTATTTTTAATAAAATTTCAGCTGGAGGATGAGCAAAACAGAAGTCAAGGAATAACAAAATACAGCAGTCATCCAGTATAGCTTCCCTGCAGTAAGCCATGAGCTGCTGGTACAAAATGTTTGTGAAAGCAATCAGAAAAGATGTCCCTGGTGATCCATGCCTTTGTTAGCATAATAATTGACTGGTAAGAAACTCACTTCTTGTCCTATAGTGAAGCAGCTTTGCCTACCACAGCAAGTTCACACTTATGCATGCCAACTGCATTAGCACATTCCAGCAGTTCCTCTGTCCCTGGCATCCTTAATTCCTGTAGGGGCTGTCTCATCAGCCACAGTCAGGGTGCTTCTAGGACAATAATGCCAAAACAGTGATGCTTCATAAGCATTACAGACTTCTTCCGGCATCAGATTTTCGTCAGTGATGACCTTGGCAAACTCAGCAATCAATTTCTCTGCTGCTTTGTGATCAGCAGGTGCTTTATTACCACAAATCTTTAAAACTTTAATGCCATGTCTTTTCTTAAATTTCTGCAACCAGCTTGTTTAATATTCACAGTTCCCTTCAATTTTCAGTTCATCATGACAGATCTTTGCTTGTTTCATGATCAGCATACAGTAAGTTGCAGGTGTTCACTGCATGGATTGACTCAATACATAATTGAGCTCTTCATTTTTAGCTTCATGCAGCATTTTTCTATTTTTCATTACCTTCTCCACATCACTTTCATATAGAACTTCAACAGTTTACCCTTCTGTTTCTTGAAGTATATATGGTAACATCATATACTCTTCTATATGAGATTTCACACTTATATCACTGTTCAGTTTTCTCCATGGCTCCACTTTCTGTGCTACAGATAAACACAAATTCTTTTTCTTTTTCTTATCACTATTGCCCATAGGGATAACTGCAAACTTTTTGAAAATTACAATATTTTCATACCATAGAGCAGAGAAGAAGCAATAAACAGCTAAGTAATACACGTAGGTCTTGGCTCCCTGTGAAGCATCATGAGGAACCTGTTGTTGGTGCATCCAGCCTGCACACATGCTGTTTCATTACCCTTTGTGGGCATGCTTGCATGGGGGAATCTCAGCAGCATGTGCAGAAAGGATATATATCAAAGGTGTAGGGAGGTGAAAGATTCTTTTTCCCTTGGGGATGCTGAATAAACTATGTTGTGTGCCTGCATTTTCATTATGACCCATCACATGAGGAATTTCCACTTGTGATCATGTCACTACTAAAACTGTTTCCGATTCTGGAACATATTCAGATTTCAGATTTTTGGATTAGAGATGCTCAAACTGTATGTTAAAAAACCTCTCTGGATTACACAGACTATCACACAGACATGTAGACAGACCTATTACCCAATCAGCACTGCCACGTGAATTTGGAAAGCACCTTACAAACAATTCATCAATTTAGTATCAAATGGTTGTACTGAGTTTCACAGTAGAAAACTGAGGAATTTATTTCTGAATAGAATCATCGAAAAATACATAATTAATTATACATATATCATTACCTCAACAACATAAAAAACGTATGCCATATATGCAAAAGAAAGGAGGACAGATAAAAATATAGAATTTTGGAGACCTACTTTTTAAAAATCTTATCATGCTTTGTGACTAAAATATCAAAGTATGATTTTTTTTGAATTAATTGTGGAAACAAATATCTATTACAATTTCCTTATAAAACTGTGCCCTAGTTTTAATGCATTTAATATGCTATAGTCATTTTACTACACTGTAAGCTCTTTGGGAGCTAAGGCCTACAGAGAGCAACACATAGTCTACTCAGGTGGCAAGAAGCATTAGATGACACGATGCCCTCAAGGAAGCCATTCCTACCTCAGTTTAAGGTGGCGTTATGGACATTCTCTCAATAAAAGCAAAGAAAGGAAAGCAAAAGTTGAGACCAAAAAGAAAAGGTCACAGGCACTGTAAGCTTCATAAAAGTTCTTACTTCTTAGCACATATGGAAAGAAGCCAGAGAACCTTAATTAGGACAAGATATGGAAGATAATTTCTTTTTACTAATTCTAACTGCTATAATTTCATAGGAGTAAATAGTAATAATATGTCTTTTACTTTATTTCAAATTAAAACTATTCCGTATCCT